GTGTTCAGCAAACTTCCAGTGATGTATTTAGATTATGTTCAACTCTGAACTCCTCTAAAGTAGTTTCAAACCTCAGGAAGTTGGTTTCTGCAGTGTGGAAATGGTTAAAGGCATAGACTAAAGAAACCAATGCAAACGTAGGCGAGATGACAGCTGGGAGAGTCTGGTTCATTCACCTGAGAGAAAGTGGCAGCTGGCATCACAGGGCAGGATGGGACACTGATTGGTGAGCTCATCAGCCCTCTCTTCATAGGCCCGCAAATCTCTGGTTCCCAGGAAGCTGTGCTGGGTCTCCCCAAACCAAAGAGCACAATGGATTGCACCACTGGAGGGATACAGCAATATAATCAAATAGTTAAAGAACATCTCAAAGTATGGGACATGCATCACATACAGTGTCATCTTGAATGTCCAAAGTGATAATCCCTGGAGAGGTCTATAAATCTAAAGTGTCAGTCTCTCCAGATGCTGCATTTTAAGGAAATGTTAGGAGACTGATGGAAGCTAAAGTTTGGATATGGAATCAGGCAAGGAAGAGTCCATTATGCCTCTTTTAAGTAAGAAGAATGACCTTAGCATCCTTCAACTAGATCCCATTTAGGAGACAATGAAGGAGGTGGCTCTTAGGCAGAGTCCATTTGGGCGCCCATAGAGGCAGTGGGCATCCAGGTGCATGCCAGGTTGAAAGCAGCTTTTTAAGGTTTCCAGCATAGCAGCCATAACAACTGTGGTCTCATTTTGTGAGCCTCGGACACCTTCCTGCTGGACACACAAGTCCTCACTTCCCCTCTGTTCCCAAAGCCACATTGCAAAGCTTATACAGAACAGTCTTTCAGGGTAAAATAGCTAGGATGAGATTGAAGTCTAAAATTCTTCATTTTAAATCTAGAAAGATGTATTTCCCTTCCCAGGCTTTAAGTTTTCTTTCTTTTTTTCTGTCTTTTTTTCTTTTTATCGGTACCGGGGATTGAACTCGCGACTGCCTGCTTTCAAGGCAGGTGCTTATGCCAATGAGCTAAACCCCCAACCCCTTCTTTTTCTTTTTTAACAGCAGCTCTATAGTGGTCCTTATTTTGACTTAGAATTTCCACTTTAAAAAATAGGTTATAAATAAAGTAGATTTCAAGATAGCATTCCATGATTTCAGCCTAACAGAAAACAAAAAAGCAGCAGGTCTTTAAGCAAATGAAGTTATCTTCTAGTCTTTTGAAAGGGATTTGTGTATATTCTCGTTAGTGGCAGGTGGATGTGTGACATGGTGAATGAGGTATTTTGTAAGACTTTGGAAAATATTTCTCAAAGTGGACACAATTTGGAGGATTCTAAATATTTTCATCTGAGTTACTAAACAGATTATGGTATTTCAATCCTGAAACACGAATTTGCAGTCTTATCTCTTGGAATGTATGATACATTAAATATAACACAACTCATATAATGTAGAAGTCACCCCTTTAAGTGTGTAATTTTAATGGTTTTTAGTATATTCCTGTAGCTGTACAACTATCACTAAGTTTAGAACACTTACATCATAAATCATATATCATTTCTACTCCTTTTTTCATAACCTTTGGCAACCATTAATCTTTGTTTCCAAGAGTTTCCATTTCTGACATACATGCTATGCCTGCATTCTCTCACTTATGTGATCACAGTCCTTCTATGTTGCAGTGTATATTAATTTCTATAGCCAAGTATTTCATCCTATGGTTACACATTTTGTTCATATAGTTCTAGGTAGATAGGGCATTTGTTGCCTCCTCCTCCTCCTCCTCCTCCTCCTCCTCTTCCTTCTCCTTTTCCTTTTCCTTCTCCTTCTTGCAAAGAAGGCACTGTTATGCTATTGCAACCTGTTAAGGTTTAATAGAGTTCACTTATTGGCACACAATAGTATAACTAGAGGTGTCCCCCAGGTTCATCAGGGATGATTGTTCTTATTGATGAACTGATATCATCAAACTTCATCAGCAAGATAAGGAGCAGGAAAGGTGAAGCCTGGTCCTCAACATTCTTAGATGTGGCCCCAAAAGATTTAAACAGTTTAACCAGAGAAAAATCATTTTAAACAGTAGAAAGAGCTAGGCCCAATGACTACAATTTGGCAAAAAAGAACAAAAACAACTTTCTCCTGAATTCATCCCTCTTCTGGGTATGCAGTCCAGAGTGCAACAGTACTCTGAGGGGAAAAGGACCAAGAGTCCAATGGGATAGCAGTACATCAAAGCTGCCAACAGTCTGGTGCATGGTTCTGCTCAAACTTCAGCCATGCATCGACTCATCAGCTTCTGGGGTGATGAGGGCAGGGCTGTGGGTATGCTGCCTCCTCAGTGTGATCTTTAGAGGAGCTGTCTTATCAGGATTGGCCTTCCAGTCTTTATTGAGATGCGTCCCTGCATTCTTGTGCTGTAGTCTCTGAGAATGTCACAGTACACAGGGTTTGAGGGAGGGCAAGGTCTAGGGTGGTGATGGTGAGTCAGTAATCTTCTGCTCCCCAGGTGTCTACTTCTTAATCCTACAGTGATGGATCCATGACACGCAGCCTGTAAGTTTTAAAAAGCAGTGGCTGTGGTTATTATGAACTCAAGAGAGTCCTCCCACTGTGGTTGGAGGGACTCTTCAAGATTTAACTAAGACCTTGTCACCAGGTTTGAACCCATGGACAGGAGAATGTATAGGAAAAGGGTGTCACAGCAGCACAGATTGTTCAAGGTCCTTTAGAGTTTGATGCAGTGCTTTCGTTTGCTGATGCAAGCCCAAGGTTCCAATTTCCTATAGTCCTGCAAGTGCTGGCGTGAGTGGACAGTATCTCCCACACAGTATCTCAAAGGGAGTGAGCCCATCCCAGTATGAGATTCACCATGATCTTAGGAGTGCAACAGGAAGCATTATGACCCAATTCGCTGTTTCTTGGCAGTTTTGCCAAGCTGTTCTCTTTTTTTCCACTTCTTTTGATATTTTTCATAGTACTGTTTTGGACATTCATGTCCATTTTGTGAATAGCTTCAGTCCCCTTGGGCATACACCCAGTGATGGAACTACTGGGTCACATCGTAATTGCTTACCTTGCCTTTTCTGAAGCATTGGTGCATCATTTCACAGTCCCAAGTGTGAGGCTCCACCACTTTGACTCCCTAGCCAACCAACACTGGTTATTGTCTTTCTGATATTTACCATTCTAGTAGCTATAAAGTGGTATTGTATGGTTTTAGTTTGCATTTCCAAGATGGCTGAAATTAAGTCTGTTTTTCATGTTCTTGTTGGCCATTTGTATATATTCTTTGGAAAAAGTCTGTTGAAATTTTTGAGCATTATTTAATGGATTGTATTTTATTTATTTATTTATTTATTTATTTAGTCTTTTTCCTTTTTATCGGTACCGGGGATCGAACTCACGACTGCCTGCTTGCAAGGCAGGTGCTTATGCCGCTGAGCTAAACCCCCAGCCCTATGGATTGTATTTTAAATCAACAAATTATTGAGTTCTTTACATAGTTTGGTACAAGTTCCTTGTGAGGTAACTCTCAAACTGGCATCTTTGAAGATTTTCTCCTACTTTGAGGGCTTTTTACCAAGTGTTCTCTCATGCATAAAACTTTTCAGTTTTATGAAGCCTGATTTGTCTATTTCCTGTTTTGCTGTAATACTCGAGAAATCACGGACTAATTCAAGTTTACAAAGGTTTATTTTTTTCTTGATAGAATTCTTTGGTTGTAGCTCTTTGGTGCATTTTAACATATTTTGTGTATGGGTCCCGTTTCATCCTTTTGTATGCAAGATCTCCAGTCATACCAACTCCACCTTTTGAAAACAATGCTTTCTCCCCATGAACAGCTTAGGTAACCTTGCTAACAGGATGTATATTATGGAGGATTCTCCTGAGGAAGAGAATCAACAGAAATTAGGTGTAATTAGGCAAGGGAATTTATTGGGGGTGCTACAGTATCAGAAGGGAGGTTCTCAATGGCTTCCCAAGGTGGAAGAGGTGGGAGAGCCCACTGTAAGTCTGGGGTCTCAACCGGAAGCTGCTTGGACTCAGAAGGAAGTCAGAGAATAAGAGGGACCAATGTCATAGCACCAGCCCATGCCCAGAGGCCCTCACTACAGACTTGCTGGTGAGACCACACTGAAGGCTACAGAAATCAGACAAAAGTCCAAAGGGGATGACAAACCTGGAGCTCTTCAAAAACGGGCATGCTTCCTCCTTCTGTTTTTTATTCCATCTAGACTACAGGCCAACTGCCTAGTACCACTGCCATCTGGGGCTGGCATCCCACCTCAGTCGATGCCCACACGTCCCTCATCCACATCACCCCCAGACCATGATTCACTAAGGTGCTAATGGCTCTGAATCTACCAAGTGGCCACATCATGACTAATGGTCACAGGATGTATTTGACAATTGTAATCGGACGTTTTTCTGTAGTAACATCATCCAATTTATGACATCTTTGATAAATTATGGAATACCTGACTTTTAAAGTGCATATATAATTATGTGTTGTAGTTATAAAAAATAAAATTTCCCTAGACAATCCTAACAATCCTTATATATCAATGTGATGAGAAAAAATGCTGTCTTAAATGGACATATTTTCTTATGATAGGTATCAGTGTAAGATTTAAAGGCTTAAAAAAACCCACTGTTGTTAAAAGTCAATGGTGACTGTCACAAAAGTAGCAATATGACTCTAATGATCATGAAAATTCCTTAATTCTACAAGCCAGGTTAAATTCTCCTGGAAGTTAAGATTCATCTGACAGTGATAAAACACCACGAGAAATCGGAATTATGAGCACCAACTTAATTTCAGTAGAAAATTGGGGATTTTCAGAAGTCAAAGTCCAAATATGTATCGTGTGAAGTAAAACAATAACAATATACTCAACTATCTGAGATTAACTTCGAAGTCTGAGAAATATGGGAATCAAAGCTGTTTTGTATTCACTTACGAATTCCTTGAGGAAGTCGGGGACACAAACTAGAGTCTGAAGACGGCAAGTCGCAAACATAGTGAGATCGTTTAATAGGTTTTGAAGGTTTTTCCTGTAAAATGGCTTGTATTTCCACAGGTACAATAGTGAAGAAATAAACTTTTCAATTTAACATGAAATATAAAAGAACAATTTTACAAATATATCCATAAAATTTAACTGCTCATAACACTCTACCTGGTAAATATGACCACCCCTTCACTTCTAAATATAAAGAAGTGAGCTTTCATCTCAGTTTAAAAAAAAAAAAAGCAACTTCCCTTGCATTGACTTTTTGTTTGTTTAGAAACATACTACGAAACACTTAAATAGAACTGGAAAAATATTTGTTTCCTCCCATTCTGTAGGGGTTCTTCATGAGGGTGAAGAACTTATTTGAAAGGATATGTCTTAGTAAAAAGAAAATACTGAACCTTCTGTTGGACTCTTCAGTACTGCTTACATTCTTTTAAAAAAATCCTGAAGTTATCGCCTTTGTCTTTGTGTCATAAAGAACAGACAACAGAATGATCTTCCATCCAGCACTACAGAAGGAACTAGCACAGTGAAGGCTATGCGATGGAGACGTGGGATGGGCAGCCAAGAGAACAGAGTGGCACCTGGCTTCAGATCAAAGTCCCGTGGTTTGCCTGTGAGAAATTCTCCCACTAGGAGGCAAGCTCACAGGAAGACAGCACTTGTCTACCTAGCATCCACTGGTGCCGTCACACACTTCTCGCGCATACCCAAAGAACAGAAGGACTTTACAGAAGAAAGAAGTTAAACAAAATCAGAACTATAGACAATAACTCTATATAGTATACTTAAATTAAGCATAAAATGAGCTCCTCAACTCTTAAAAGTGCCCAAATAATACTGAGCTCCCAAATAACAAAAGGCTTGCATTTTTCTATATAAGCAAAAGTAAAAGGCATTGAAGCTTTATGAAAAAAAGTTCTCCACAACTTTCCTAGTACAGTACATGTAATAACTTAAAATGATCTCCCCACTGGTACTGGAAGATAAATTCTACTACAATCATGTCTGTGCCAGCCCCTGGCACAGTCCTGCATCCAGATTCATTCGTCTCTGTCCCGGAGCCCATCATGTCTCCAATGGCTTTCTCCTTTCTTTAAACCCTAACCCTGAATTTCTAAAACCAGTTCTATCACGTGGCTTCCCTGAGGCACAAAGGTACCAAACTCTGTAACTAATAAACTACTGAGGAATGATAAATGTTATTTATACTAAAAGATTTTAATTCTTTTGGGCCACAGTTGAGGAAGAAAAAAACAAAATAAAACCAAACAACCCAGAACGCTTAATACTTACTCTGCAGGGTGAACTGTAGCCCTTTCTGCAAAACGCAGAACCAATGAGGGAAATGTCGAGGGTTGCAGCATGCATGACCCGGCAGCACCGATTATTAATAAAAAATTCCAGACTAGAAAAATACTCAGAGTTGTACACCACCCACTCTGAATCTTTTTTTGTTTGTTTGTAGTAAACTGACATAAAACAACTGAGAAAAAAAATCCTTGGGAATATATGATTGGGGATCTACTTCTGGGAACCTTTTCAAAAAAAAGCATCTCAGCTGGGCCGAGAGCAGGACAGCTGGCCGGGACTCCCAACGCAAGCACTGGGAATGCTATTCTTGTCCTTGGACTTGATGGTGGGACAGAGGTAAGGCGGAAGTGACCTTAGCGAGGCTGCCTTTCTTCACTGTGTCATTCTACTTTGGTAGGCTAGAATTCTTTATTCTCACAAACCAAACTGCTTTCAAATATGAAAACAAATCTTATCAGTCAAAACTATGAGGGCATCTAAGTTCTCAAAGTAGTCATGTAAGTCTGGCTTACCTTCCCACTGCTGCACACCCGCACGGCGAGTGCTTGGGCACGGCAGGAGAGGACCTCACTTGGAAGCCCAAGGAGAAGACATGAAGCTGACCAAGGGCAACACTCTTACCCTTTCTAAGAGTTTAGAATTTACTGCCTGAATTTCAGCTTGCACTTAAGCCATCTGAGTTTACTGTAGGTCAGAAACTTTTCAAGTTCAAAAGTAACCTTATTTTGGGGCATCTGTTGCCTGCACAATTATCAGACATATTTATGATCATGGACATGTGGTAGCAGGCAGAGCATAACTTGTCAGAAAGAAACCTTCCTTTTCATTTTTCTTGGTAGATGAAATGCAGCCTTTCTGGGTGCAAGGCTATGTACCCCACAAGATGATCTTGGGGTATACAGCAAGACATGGGAGTCAGTGCCTCCTCCATGGCTTTTTGGAGCCCAAAGATTACAGCTCTAAGACACTCTCTCTCAGGGACAGCTAATCATTGGAGATCATGTCTCAGCCAGACAGCATTCAATACATCATTGTAGGCAACTCCGTTTTTTTCCTCTTGTGTCTGCAGGTAAACTGCACAGACTAGAAGGAGGCTCTCAGTAAGAGGACTGCTGTTGGATTTTCACACCACTTAAAAATTACCCAAACAAAAGACCTCATCCTAAACAATGATCTGCACTGAAAAATAAAGCTATTTTGAAACTGACAGGCTGACCTTTTAAAATATTAAGTTAAATTAAGCAGCAGCAATTAAGAGATATGTATCTTACCATTTTAAGAAAAAGAGTATTCAAACAGGTTAGAATGATTAAAAATAGGCAAAACACTTGCCAATAGACAAAATATGGGAAAACCAATTCAAGTATGAATATAGTATATTAGAATCATATAAATTACGTATATTTACAAAAGTTAAAAAAATGTAGTTCAAATCTGCAATAATTCATCAGAGGGGATGTTAGTTCAAATGAACACTCGCTCCACGTGCAGAGGCCTGTATCAGCTCACCCAACTTTTCTACTTTCAGGAACAACGACGCTTCCAGTAGCAAACACAGAAAATGAGCACCCAGGAATTACTCATCAAAATGAAAACACAGCGGCAGAGGGGTGGGAGCGAACTGGAATTCTGAGTCAGCTTCTCCTCACAAAATACTCATTTGCTCTCTCCCAGTCTGGAATTTCAAATTATCTCTGCAGATGTACCACTTGGTTCTGGGGATGGCTAGTGGTCACATTTAAATCTGGTTTGATTTGCAAACATTTTGAAACCTTTGGGCTTCTGAAGCTGTCAAGGAAGGGGACAGATGGGGGAGAGTGGGGGAGAGAAGTGCCTGCATCATTACGATTTGTGCCTTTGGCTTCACGGAGTTCTGATTCTTATAGAAGACAAAGAAAAAACATCTGAGGAAACCTCAATGAGTGGTTTTAAAAAGTAAAAGTGCACTTTGAATCTCTCAGAGCTTGAATAATCTGCGTGCAGATGCAGCTGGTGTACAGCGCCCAGGCCGCAGTGCTGTGCAGTGGCCCCTGCACGCCTGCTTATCAACTGCTAAGGGCTGCTGTATTTAACCAATCAAGACGCGCTGCTCACGTGTGATGAGAATCAGGGACAAATCATTTAAGCAGAAATAGAAAACGCAGACTAAAACATCATGGAAAGTTCTTTTGTTTGGAATGCCAAGTATCTGGTATGAGTGGGTAAGTAAATTCCACTAACTTAAAAAAAACCCCACAATCATACACCAATATTCTCTCCCCCAAAATGTGAGAAAATAAACTAGAAAAAAGCCCTATGGTTCAGAACAAGCCCCTGCATCGACCGTCTCCTGCCTGTCAACCACATCTGCCACTGGGTCGGATTCCAGGCACTGGCAGCGGGCACAGACACCATGTGTCTTCAGGTGACACCAAGGCTGCATGCTACCAACCAACAACGTGTGAACACACCTCTTGTACACTTGCAAAATAGGATTTATAATTTTGTCTGAGTTTACAAAGGGAAAATACCTGGTTAAAACCCAAGGTTAAAAATAACAGCAGGGCCGCGTACTGCCAACCATCACACAGAGATTATGGTTTAACTAGGCAGACCCCGGGGACTCCGCCAGATTTTGGAACACGTGGCCACACCATAGCTGAGTTTCCACACTGAGCCCCTTTTGTCCTAGCCAGCCCCAGTCCACCCTCCCCTCTGCAAACAGCGTTACAAAAAGGTAGGATCTAGTATGAGTGGCGAAGTTTCACAGTAACTGTTGACAGTCCAGAGGTGGCTGTGAGGGGCGTCAGTCAACCGGAGCCTGGAAGATCAATCGGATGCAGTTCTGCTCCCCGACCAGCTGCGTGGCACAGAAGGGACAGGCAGCGTGGAACGCGTGGGTCCCGTGAGGCAGTGGAATCTGAGCCCAGTACTTTGCAGACTTCTCTGAACACACGTGTCCACAGGGGGTGAACGCATGAGTTGGTGGGCCTGCATCCACATAAAATCCCGCCTCACAGCCCAGCCAGAGAGGCACGTAGGGGCCCACAGTCCGACACATGGGACACTCCCTCTCGTTGGCCTCCGTGTCACTGCGGTGGCCCCAGTTGTGGTATCCATGCACGTGGCCGCAGCTGAGATACGCCCAGGGCTGCTTTTCCTCCACCACCTCTTTCCTGTTGATGCTGGGGAAGGCCAGGGTGTTGAGCCCCACAGGACACTGGGGCCGGGCTGCGTTGATCTCCTGCCGCAGGGCTTCAATGTGCTTCTGCGTGGGAGCATGAAAGAGCCCGTCCGCAGTTCTCCAGAGAAGCGTGGCCCCGCAGAGGTCAATGAGGGAGCCATCCTGCAGCACGTTGGTCTCACTTTCCACCTACAACAGGACAGACAGACAGACACCTTTTAGAAGCAAATTTTACCAATTTCCCTCTCACATAAAATGTCATGTTTGAAGCAGATGTGGGCGGGGCAGTTTACTCCAGGAGCAGAGGAGCAACCTCTCCCAGAGCGGTTTCCTCATTTGCATACCAGATTTATCATAGCTGCCCAGTGTACAAAGCTGTGAGTGCCGTGGATCTGGCTTCATATTGTTAGTTAAAGCTGTGGTCATGAACTTCACAAATCTATCCTAGGTTTAAGTTGAGAGATATCATCAGAGCCAGAGATGTCCTACAAGGTACCCAGGGAAGACTAATACTTGTTTCAACCACCGGCCATGCAGAGGAACCCTGCAGCCCTGCAGTTGTTACCAGTATCCAGCATAACCCTGTGACCCTTCACCTCATACGCACCTCAAACCAATCCTTCTCCCTTGCTCCTAAGGTCTGAGGTCATGCTACGAGCTTACGTTCTCAGAGAATGCCTGTGCCATGCATGGAGTCATGTAGACCCAGTTATTAGCTCATGGCAGCACAGTGAGGCATGGTCAGCAGGAACTGACCATTGCTTCCCTGGGTCAGAGCTTGTGAAGCCCTGGTTTGACAAAGACCAAGAGATCAGAGCCCCATCATCAGGAGTCCACAGTTGGGGGTGGCCGTGGATTAATCGGAACCAGTGTGGTCAACTGGGCCAGCACTGTTTAGAACTCTCCAAAGATTGGAGACAAAGTGGTTTTTTTGAAACAAAAATGTTTTCACATACTCCAGTTACAATGTCTTGAGCTAACAAACTTACTGACTTTGACTGGCTTTTGAAGAAAATGCTTCTCACAGGTATTTAGCCAGGATGCTCTGAGACGAGGCTTTATCGGGAGGTAAGTGGCTGTAATAGTGGCATGGAAAATAGAACAGTGACAGCTCTCAGTGCACAAGCATCGGGGCAAAGGACCAGCCAGCTTAGTAAAACGGACCCCCTGCTGCTCCTTTTAGACTATAAATATTTAGTATCTTTTTCATTGGAAAATGCTGGATCACATCGCCCATTCCCTGTATGTGGTTTTCTATGAGTTTTTAAGAACTCCTTCCCTACCTTCTAGAAAAAGCCATTTGCTTCCTCTTGCTGTAGCTTCTACCTAACAATTACTTGATACAAGTGGGAAGTTTACAAGCAGTCCTTCTGTGGCTGTGCCTTGGGATTAAAATCGGCCTCATGGAAGAAGGGTCTGGGCATGGCACTAAGTGGTGGTGATGACAGAAAAACATTAACACACCAGCTCAGGGCAACACATGAGTTATTTCAAATAAAAAACTGTAACTATGACTTTGGAGAACAACACAGAGAATTCTGTGCTAATTTCTTACTATGAACTTAAGAGGAAAAAAGGACACTTAGCTATTCCTTAATTCTAGAAAGTCTCAGTCATTCTTTAACTGAAAATTTTCACTAATTGGTCTTGGACTGCTCAGATCCAAGATCTGCTACAGATTTTTTCAGATCAGTTAAGTTTTGCTCTGAGTCTATTCTACACAAAGCAGATGCAAGCAGAAACATGTGGTGAGGTAGAGAAGGAAGCGAATGGTCCTCAGATGAAGGAGAGCACGTTTCCCTCCCACCATGGGGAAGCTGCTGGCTCAGGCGTCAGACTCTGCGGGAGGGAGGCTCCCTTGCCCTCAGCACCCAGCCGGCAGGACCACGCACCAACTTGCCCTTCTGCTGCGCCGAGCGGGTCTCCCTTAACGTGTACACGTCCCCACAGACCGAGATCTCACGCCATAGCCCAGGCTGCGACTCCTCAGTGAAGCCGCCCCGTGGGTGCATCACCAAGACACCATTGGTGGTCAGCCCGTCCATATGGCCATCAGGGTTTTTCCACTTCGCTGCCTTTTCCTGGGGGGCAAAAAAAGCATATTAAGGGGATGGTAAAACAAGGGTCTCTGCAATTTTTAACATACTAGCCACAGGCAGAGGACAGAAGAGAGATAAATTTGCATTTTCAAGTTTAAGCTAATCATTACAGAATAAAATGGGCAGTTATTCTGACAATATGAAGGATGTACTAAAATGCATGAATAACTTTTCACTGGAAATACATGTTAGTCTTGGATGTTTAGAGAGGCCTCGTGCTTAGATCTCCCTCAAAGATGCAATGGTGCCCAAAGCTGGGAAGGCAGCCTCCTCTTCCTCACAAGTCTACATGAAAAGCTGTTACTCTATTACATAAACATGCTTTGTGCATTCCTCATTTGGATGCAGAAGGAAGGTACTCATAAAAATTTTTTTTTATCAAAATTACAAAAAATGTTAAGCTGATAAGGGGTGGTTGTTTGTTTTCATACAAAGCAATGTGGATCTGCTCAGAGGCAAGGGCACAGTGGCAGCACAGGCATTTGGGGCCCAAATCACCACAGCCACGCTTTTCCTTCTTGAAGACAGAGCCCAGGCAGGGGCACACACTGGTGGTGGGGAATGAGACTCCCCTTCTTTTTTTGTTGTTTTTTTTTTTTATTTAAAAAATGTGTATTAAAAAAAGGGGGAGATTAAGATGAAAGAAGACACGACAACACAGGTCAGAACAGAACAATTTAAGCAACATAGTGTTTCACCACAGGATAACCCGACATAACAGTAGTTACCATAGTGTCTCTTTCCTTGAAGTATTTCAGTATGCCTTCATATACGATCAAACATAACAAGGCAGTGTAAAACCATTCAAGAGGGTAAAAGTATTACAGGGTATTTAGAACCAACAGAAAACCAACAACGTTTTTCTATATTGTCTCCTTGACTATTGTCAAGGAGATACACAAGATTTTGTTTATGCTATCACATATAATAAAATCCAGTAAAATACAATGCGATAAAACCGATGGAGACAGAACAAAAGCTTGATGGGATTTCAAAACAAGATGATATTAAATCAGCACTAGCTATTATAATGTCTTGTTTTCTTCAAAATAACTGTTCATACCATCAGACAATAAAATCAAACAACCCAGAATAAAACCATTCTAATTAATGATTGAAAACTTTATAAGGTTTCAAAACGATATAACGGGGAATCATGATTACCACATACTTTTATGTATTCTTACCATTTCTTACACTAGGGAAACTATTCAGTATTTATAGATGTGAGTTTGATTTATTTCACTTATGAGTATGGTCTCAAGCTGTGCCCACTTATTTATAAATATCTCAATGTGATCCTCCTTTATAGCTGAGTAGTACTTCATTGTATAAAAATACTACAACTTTTTTATCCATTCCTCAGTTGATGGACACTTAGGTTTTTTCCAAGATCTGGCTATTACAAATTGTGTTGCTATAAACATGGGTGCACATATATCACTGTGGTATGATGTTTTCAGTTCTTCTGGAAATATGTCTAGAAGTGGAATAGCTGGAACAAATGGGACTTCCAATTCCAGATTTTTGAGAAATCTCCAAACTGATCTCCACAATGTTGCAACAGTCTACACTCCCACCAACAGTGCAGGAGAGTTCCTTTTTCCCCACAGCCTCTCCAGCATTTGTTGTTGGTCCTGGCCATTCTTTCAGGAGTGAGATGGAATCTCAGTGTGGTTTTAATTTGCATTTCTCTAATGAGTAATGATGATGAACTTTTTAAATGTATTTATTAGCCATTTGTATCTCTTCATCTGAGAACTGTGTATTCATCTCAGATGCCCATTTTTGGATTGGATCTTTGAATTTTGGGGGTCTGATTTTTTAAAATTCTTTATATGTTTTAGACAGAAGTCCTTTGTCTGAGGGGCAGTTCACTAAGATTTTTTCCCATTTGTGGGTTTTCTTTTCACTATGCTGGAGATTTCTTTTGACATGCAAAAACTTTTTAATAAGAAGTGGTCCCAGTTATTGATTCTAGGAAGTATTTCCCATGCAGTTTGAGTCCTGTTCATGAATTCTCTACCTACTCCTATGTCTTCAAGGTTTTTACCCAATTTGTCTTCCAATAGATTTAGTGTTTCTGTTTTAATATTCAGATCTTTGATCCATTTAGATTTTAATTTAGTACATGTTGATAGGCATGAATCTAGTTTTAGTTTTAGGCAAAGAGCCAGTTTTTCCAACATCACTTATTAAATACACTGTTGTTCTACCAGTGAACCTGTTTGGTCCCTTTATCAAAGATAAGGTGGTTGAGTGTGTTTGTAGTTGTGGTTGTATCTTCTAATCTATTCCACTGATCTTCGGCTCTGTTTTGATTCCAGTACCATGTTGATTTTACTACTGTTGCTTTGTAGTATAACTTCACGTCAGGGAATGTGATGTCTCCTGCCTTGCCTTTGCTGCTTAGAACTGTTTTTGCTATTCTAGGTCTCTTCTCACTCCAGATGAATTCTAGGAGTGATTTCTCAAGATCTATGAGATATGTTGATAGTATTTTTATTGGGATTACACTGAATCTGTATAAGAGTTTTGGGAGAATGGCCATTTTCACAATATTTATTCTTCCTATACATGAGCATGGGATGTCTTTCCATTTTCTGAGATCCTCTTCAATTTCTTTTTTCAGTGTATTATAATTTTATCTATATAGAACTTTCACTTCTTTCATGAGAATAATTCCTAAATATGTCACTTTTCAGTTGCTAGTATGAAGGATGTGGCTTCTCTTATTTCTCTGTGATTTTGTTGTTAGTGTATAGAAATGCTATTGATTTTTGTGTATTGATTTTGTATATACTGCTGAATTTATTTATTATATCTAGGAGTCTTTCAATTGAGTTTGGGGTTCTTCTATGTAGAGTATCATGTCATCTGCAAATGATGATAATTTAACTTCTTTTCCTATCTTTACCTCTTTTATTTCTCTCTCTTGTCTAATTGCTCTGGCAAGTATTTCCAGTACTATATTAAATAGGAGTGGTGATAAGGGACATCCTTGTCTTGTGCCTGATTTTAAGTAAAGGCCTTCAGTTTTTGGCTATTTAGTATGATACTAGCTGTTGGTTTGTCACAGATGGCCTTTACTGAGGTAAAGACCATCTATTCCAATTTTCTGTAAGGTTCTTATCATAAATCAATGTTGGACCTTATCAGAAGCTTTTTCTGCATCTATAGAAATGATCATGTGATTCTTTGGCTTTATTGATATGTGAATTACATATATTGATTTACATATGTTGAACCATCCCTGCATGCCTGGGATGAATCCCACTTGGTCATGGTGTATAATCTTCTTGATGATTTGCTGTATTCTATTTGCCAATATTTTATTGAGGATTTTTGCATCTGTGTTCATTAGGGAGATTGGCCTGTAGTTCTCTTTTTAGTTGGGTCTTTCTCAGGTTTTGGTACTAGAGTAATACTTGCTTCCAGGAATGACTTAGGAAGGATTGCCTCCTTTTCAATTTCACTGAACAGTTTCTTGTGGAAATCTGCAGTGAATCCGTCTGGGCCTGGGCTCTTCTTTGTACATAAAAGGATTTAATTACATTTTCAATTTCATTAATAGAAATTGGGTTATTCAGCAGTTTTACATTTTCTTGATCTAGTTTTGGTACTTTCATATGTGTCTAGGAATCTGTCTATTTCTTCTGTGTTATCAAACCTATGAGAGTAGCAGTTTTTGAAATAGGTGTTGATGATCTTCTGTTTTCTAAAGTCTGTACTGATTTCACCCTTTTCATTCCTTATTGCATGAATTTGAGCTTTTTCTTCCTTTTTTTAATACGGTTGCCAGGGGCTTATCAATTTTATTTATTCTTTCAAAGAACCAACTTTTTGATTCATTGATTCTTTGGATTGTTTTCTTAGTCTCTACTGCATTAATTTCTGCTCTGATTTTTATAATTTCCTCCCTTCTTTTGGCTTTGGGCTTGACTTGATCTTCTTTTTCTAGTTGTTTGAGGTGTGACATCAGGTTATTTATTTGTATTCATTTTGTTTCCCTCAGTACAATAAATTTTCCTCTGAAGACAGTTTTCATTGTATCCCACAGATTCTGGTAAGTTGTATTTTTGTTTGCTTGTAGGTATTAATTTTTTCTTTAATTTCCCCTATGACCAACTGATTACTCAAGAGTGTATTATTCAGTTTCCTGTTTTTGTGCGATTTTTGCAGTATCTTTTATCATTAGTTTCTAATTTCATGGCGCTATGATCCAATAGCATGCATCGGGTAATTTCAACTCTTTTGCATTTATATAAGTACATTCTGTGGGCTAATATATGTTCTATTTTAGAGAATGTCCCATGTACTGCTAAGAAGAATGTGTATTCTGATGTTGTTGGATGGAACACTCTGTATATGTAGTCCATTTGTTCACAAGTGTGATTCAATTCGGTTCAGTTCAGTTCTTTTCTGATTTTCTGTCTGGTCGATCTGTCCCTTGGTGTCAATAGTATGTTAAAGTCTCCTGTTATAATTGTGTTACTGCCAAGTTGGTTTTTCATTTTTGCTAATACTTGCTTTATATAATTGGGTGCTCTGGAATTAGGTGCATATATTTTTAAGATTGTTATCTCTTCCTCTTGAAGTTTTTCCCTAACCAGTATGTAATGACCTTCTTTATCTCTTCTGATCATTATTGGTTTAAAGTTTACATTATCTGCAAACAGAATAGCTATCCCCACTTTTTTTTGGGGGGGGGGGTTCCTGTTGCATGTAGTATTGTTTTCCATCCTTTGACTTTCAGTTTGTGAATATCCTTTTGGGTTAGATGGGTTTCTTGTAGACAGCATATGGTTGGATGTTGTTTCTTGATCCATTCTGCCAGTCTGTTTCTTTAAATTGGTGCATTGAGACAATTTACAGTAATGGCTATAACTGTTACATGCTGGTTTATTGCTGACATGTTATCTTGCTGCTGTTGCATCTTTTTCTTTCCATTCTGTTTGTCTGCTTTGCTTAGTGGTTTATTCCTGAGTGTATCTAATCTGTCTTTTAGTATTCTTTGCAGGGTTGGCTCGGTGATCATGAAGTTCTTCAGCTGTTCTTTGTCATGGAAGTATCTTATTTCTCCATCAATTTTGAAGGACAGTTTTGCAGGGTACATCAGTCTAGGTTGGAAATCATTTTCCTTTAGGATCTGGAATATTTCACTCTATGCTCTTCTTGACTTTATTGTTTGTGCTGAGAAGTCTGCTGTGATTCTGATAGGTTTTCCTTTATGGGTGATCTGTCTTTTCTCTCTGACAGCTTTTAATATTCTATTCTTATATTGGATTTCTGGGATGGTGATTATTATATGTCTGGGTGTAGTTTTATTTTGGTTATGGCTATTTGGAGTTCTATATGCATCACTGATCCTGATGTCAGTTTCCATTCTCATGTTTGGGAAACTTTCAGCTATTACTTCTCTAAACATCCTCTTGATATCCTTTATATTGTCCCCTTTTTTTTCATTTATCCTTATCAATCTTATGTTGTTTTTCTTTGTATCATCTTGCAGCTGTTGAATTGTTATTTCCTGATTCCTTGTTATTTTCAAAAGATCTTTCCTTTCCTGTTGACTCGCTGCAATGTTGTCTTCAAGGTCTGAAATTCTATCTTCACTTTCATTGAGGCGCTTTTATAACTTTCAATGGAATTTTTGATTTTCTGTATATCTCTTTATATCTGCTTTATGTATTCTGTTCTATATTGTTCATCCAGGGATTGTACCTTTTTGTTTAGTTTGTCCAATTTAACTGTGTCTGCTTTAGATATATTCAGCATCTCTTTCATTTCTTTTATCATTTCTTCTTTTACTTGGGAGATTATTTCTAGTTTGAATTCCTTTAAAGCTTCCCGGAGTTGCTTCTTTATTTCAGTTGCTATTATGTCAGATATTTCAGGTGTATGGCATATATTTTCTTCTGTGTACATAGCTCCTAGGGTTTCTTTGGATGGGCTTGGAGGCACCCTCAGTTTCAGAGTCTGAGCGGCCTGCGGTGAGTGTCCCCTGCACCATCCCCTGATGGTGCAGATTGGCTTGAGATTGTATTTTGGTCTTTTGTTTTGTCATTTTCCTGTATTTCTGTGTTTTGATTGTTATTCCAAGGCTTCCCCAGAGGCAGTTGGGAGTCCTCTTCTATATCCTCAGCTCCTGGGACTCTGGCAGCCCAGTTCCCCGGACTGAGAAAGGATCACCGGGGGTGGAGCTGGCAGGCCCAAGCCCTATGGTTCAGGTTGAGTATGGCAGGAAGCTGTGAAGTTCCTTGGCTGATGGGAGCAATGGTCCCAAACTCCCTGGTTCCCAGGATGGTGCGGGACACTCATCACAAGCCGCTCAGTCTCCGGAACTGAGAGTGCTGGCAGGCCAGGGACCCCAGAGTCTGCCAAGCACGGCAGGGGGGACTCCCCTTCTTGTAACTGCTCAAAAGCCCCATCCCCTCTTAATCCCGGGTCACGTGGGAGGCCCTGCACTTCTGTTGGCTCCTGCTGCAGGGGCTGGAAGTGCAGGAGCAGCCCCTGCTGGGAGCAGTCCCTGGAGGAAGTGACAGGTGGAGGAGCAGAGGGCCTGGGCAGCTCTGGTCAGCAGGGACAACCATTTTATTACTGGGGAGGCCACAATGAGCAAGTTTTTCCCTTTAAACATTTCCAGCTGGGTCTGGGGATTTAGCTCAGCGGCATAAGCACCTGCCTTGCATGCAGGCAGTTGTGAGTTCGATCCCCAGTACCGATAAAAATGAAAAAGACAAAAAAAAAAAAAAAATTTAAACATTTCCAGCTGTAGTGAAGCTATAGTCACTAGAACACTGGGGTTCTTTTATAAGGACATCCCATGGTGGCAGAGGTCTTTTGTTCTCTGAGAGACTGTAACCATATCATCCAGTATCTCAATGAAATATTTTAAATGAATGAATAATTCACTAACAATTTCCTTTGAGTCCTAAAGGTCTAGATTTGGCCTTTTATTTTCCTTCTAAAATAAACCTCTTAAGCCCACCACTATATATACAATGTTTATATATATTCTGTAACAAAATAATTATTGTCCATAGTATAACTGATACAGCAAATGTAACAATTAATGAGTAGTGTTATGCAGGCTTCAGATTTTTAGTAGCAGGTGTTTAAACCAACCACTTGAAAGCCAGACAGGCATCACAAATTGCAAATACTTTTGCCTCATTTAAACCCTCCCTATCATAATGGCATTTCTCTTCAGGCTGCATACTGGTTATCAGCACTTACCCCAAGGAAGATGTTTTTGGAAGAGTCAAAGCCAGCAGCGAATATCCGTGCTGTGTAAGGCTCACTCCTGTCACACACGATTCTGCAGGCAAACCTGGAGATGGTGCTCTGTGTGATCTGGGCTTCCTCGCTGTTTTGGCCACCAGAAATGGTGTCTGTGACGACAAAGTCGATGGGGCTTTCGGTGGACCTGCCCACCTGGACAAACCAACACGCTCATGATTTTCTCGGACAGCATCAGTGCACCGCCTCTTGCTTCACACAAATGGGCATTCATTCCCCCTGCTCAGGGGTCAGAACCAAACAACAAACACCCAGTGTGTGTCTTTTCTCATTTAGTAAAGGGAGAAATTACCGTGACCATCAGCTCTTCTTAAACAAAAAGTTTACTAATTATTAACGTTCTTACAGTAAGAACAAGACACATGAGATGGCCCTCCTTCCACAGATCCGAACACTCAGCACTGTAACTGCCGGATGTAGGCACAGTGAACGGAGCACCACAGACTCGCTCGCCTTAGCTGTCAAGATGCCTGTGGTATAGGCCATCAGATTTTAGTTATGAAGAGAATGCTTCCTTTTCTATTCTGGAGGAATATACTACAGTTTTTCTTACACTCTAGATTTATTTCCTGGATTCTGGTAGAAATACTACTTTCATGGCAAATTGTTCTTCATTTCGGTTTCCAGCGAGCAGCATAACTGTTGCTTCCTCCTGAGTGAATCTAAGGATGCATCCCAGCCTTGAGCAATGGGAGCCCCCGAGACCTGGGGGTGCCTGTGCATGCAGTGCAGAGAGGGCAGCCTGGCCTGTTATTAGCATTTCATGTGTGGATTTTAAGAAAAAAATTCTGTTAGGGGAAGCCTCAAGACTGCTAATAATACTGTATGGGTTTACTTTTCTTGTTAAGATTGAAATGCTGCCAAGAAGAATACATTTCATTAGGAAGATCTCAAGAGTTCTAAACTTTTCCTATTCAGTAAATTCAATAAAATAGGTTTTGCTTTCTATTATGAACTACAAAAAAGTATTTGTTTACAAACAAGGAAATCCTCAAGATGGGATAACGAAACATTTATGTGCTGATGTTTTTATTTAAGATGGGTTTTTGGTACCTGTAGCATTTATCTGTTAACAGAGATTCACAGAACATCAGCACTACTTCTTCTCTTAACCATAGTGACTTTGACTTCAAAGCTACAGTGGAAGGAACAGACAGCACCTGAGCTGGGTATATAAAAAGCCCTTGAAAATCAATTTCCAAGGTATTTTCATTCTGGTCGCAAAATTCTGTGTGAGATATGAGCAATGTAAAACACACTTTTTTATTTTCCAAATGAACAAAGTACAAAGAAAATATCTTGCATCACTTAGTCCTGCTTGCTTCCTAGAACATTATTAAATTTCTTTTGCAAATCTCCCATATATATTCTTATCCACAAACTATTCCCGTAAAACCAACAAACAAAAACCATCGATCTCTCATTTTCTACCACCCTTAATTTCTTGTCCCAATGATTTGTCCCAGAATAAATCAAACTACTGGCTTCACTGAAACTCATCAACTTGAATGGATGTATAGTACCTGAAAACATAGAAAACTTAACATGCTAAAAAATGCAAAATAAAACCTACAATACTATAAAATCATACACAGCCCCTTGTTCACAAGTTACACAATCTTTATGGCTTCATTTAAAAACTGATTGACAATGCTTGTTCTGAGTTTTTCTTATCTTTCCCCATACATTAAATTAAAATCAAAATGAAGCAAAGTTCTAAAAATTAAAACAGAAACATTAAATCTGACAGAAGAGAGAACTGATAGAACACAAAACCCTGATTGCACAGGAAATATCACAAAGAATCAACAACTGGGATCTCATCTTATTAAAAAGGCTTTTGCACAGCAAGAGAAACCACCAACAGAGTGAAGAGACAACTCACAATGTGGGAAAAAAATTTGTTGCCAGCTGTTCCTCAAAGGATTAATATCTAGCATATATAAAGACCTCAAAAAAGCATCAGATCCCTCGCCAGATTTAAAGATCCAAAACTGGGCATCTGAAATGAATAGACATTTCTCAGATGAAGAAATAGAAATGAGAAAAAATACATGAAAAAATGTTCAATATCACTGATCATGTGACAAATGCAAATTAAAGCAACATTGAGATTTCATTTTGCCCCAGAAAAGAATGGCTATTATCAAGAAATCAACCAATAACAAATGTTGGTGAGGGCCTATGAATAAAAGCAATTCTCCACAGCTGCTGGCAGGGTAGGCTGGTGCAACCACTGTGGATGGCAGTGTAAAGACTCCTCAAAAACTAGGCTTAGAGTTCCCATTTGACACAGCTATTGCTCTTCTGGGCATCTTCCCAGAAGCATTAAAGACATGGTATCACATCTATATATGTGCACCCATGTTTACAGCAGCACAATTTGTAACAGCTAAATCTTGAAAACAACCCAAATGCCCAGCAACCAATAAATGGATAAGGACGTGTTTTTTTTATGCAGTGGAGCACTACTCCGCCATAAAGGAGGATAAACCTGAGAGGGCTCTGGCTAACTGGATGCACTTTGAGATTGTACTCTTAAGTGAAACAAATGAGACACAGAGGTTTTAATGCCACATCATTTCTCCTTTGTAATACACCAAAAGCATAAATAAGGGTCAAAATATACAATGGATGTTGGGAAGTGGGGACAAATGTTCAACTGAGAAGGGCAATAAGGGAGAAAGAAGAGGAAAGGAAAAGAAGGGACAAAAAAAGATAGTAGAATTAAAAAACAAATCTTTTGTAAATAAGCAGTGGAAGAGGGGCTAATGCAGGGGCATGATATGCAAGGGCAAATTCCCCACGATCAGTGCTAGCATTATACAAATCTAAAATGTACCAATTTTAAAAACCACACAAAAAATTAGAAAAGTAACAAACATTTATGACAAAGTCCTTAACAAATGTGGAAAAGTATAAATAAAATCTTCTCTGAACTGAGGAGCATGCCCGTCCTGGACCTCTCTATTCCATTAAAGTTCAGGAGTAGAACAAAGGCGGAAAGTTCTAAAATCCCCTGGTCATCTCACAAAGCCCTGACAAAGAGAATCTCTGTCCCAGTTTCTGTCAGCCTCCTGGGGGAGAAGGCAAAGCCCTCCTAAGCTCTTAGAAACACTCAGAGCTCCAGTGCCCTCCTCTAGAACGCCACACCTCTGCACTGTGTTTTTTCTGGTTTTCTGTCTGTTTTTTGAGCACTGGAGGTGAAAGGCCAGCTTTGCCACATGGCAGGCCAGCTCTCCATCACTGAGTTCCATCTCTGGTCCCTGCCCCCTTCTGTCTTCAGAAATTATTCTCCTCTAGCAAAGCCACATTCTGAGTGTATCCAAATTTATTAAATTAATGTCCTCATGCATTAACTGAATTGACTATAAAACGTGAAATTTTATTCCAACTGGAACATACTGCTAGGATCAATTACTCTGTCATAATCTCACCTGACTAGCCACATAAGATTTGTTTATCAATTTGCTTCCACTTACATCTACACTTCTGAGTGCCAGGAAAATTACAGACTTTTGGGACAGAAGCCTCACTGAGAGGAAAGAAAGCTCAGTCCCAATCCCACCGCAGACTCAGTGTGAGAACCCTGCAGCGCCCCCTGTACTGTTCTGGGTCAGCTCCGTATCATTCTAAAGGCAGCCATGTAGGCAACAGAAGGTGTTTGTGAGTTGCACCCGACATTCTGATGGCACAGAAGCTCTGATATTTTTAGAGCGCTGATCATAGGTAAGGAATAGTTTTGTTTTTTCCAACCTATCACTGATGCTTTTGAAAAATATAATAGAAGCAAGCACTAGAGAGGTGTTCTTCTGCTTATGTCTCAGCAATACTGAAATGCTATAGAGGCTTCCACTTCTGTGCTCATTAACTCCTGTATCACTGCAAGCACTGTGCCGGTTTGAACTTCCATCTTGCCTCAGCCTCCCAGAGTGCTGGGATTAGAGGCACGCACCATTGTACCCTAGGTAGTTTCCTTTCTTCAGAAATACTTTTCTTCGACCACCTGCAGACAGCTCTCCAGCTCTGGTCCAAGGCTGATTCCCTTACCAGCAATTCTTCTTGGAAAACCTGTCACCATCACCACCTCCATCTCCTTGCCCATCTCTTAACTCCCTCAGTTCCTCCTGCTGGGCTTCCCACTTGCCTGCCTTTGGAACCCTGTGCAAAGGGCCCCAAAACTCCAGTGCATGTGGAGTCAGCCAGCAACCCTGTACCTAGTGTTGGAACAGTAAGCATGTACAGCTCCATGCCTTGCCTTTCTGGCCTCTTCCCTATCACATCAAGTCCCATTTATAAGCCAAAGCCCATCGCTCCCAAGCCCCAGGTAACAGACTCATCACCACAGACAGGAAGAAGCGTCGCTGAGTAACAGGACCCTTGCTCCTTCTCACTCCTGGGTTTCCCCGTGACAGTGACTGACTGTGGCCGGCTGGCTCTAGCTACAAGTCAAACTCAAGACTCATTCTTGACACAAACCCCCACCCCACCCCAGTCATCTCTCTGATCCCTTCCAGCTGTCTGGTCACTGTCAGTTCTGCCTCCAAATCCCCTGCATTCACACTCACCTGGGACAGCTTCTCCACACAGTGGTGTCTCTGGATGAGAAGACTACACTGGTCCCGTGCCAGACCCTCCAATTGCTCTGAAAGCGCCTCCATGAAGCCTGGGTGCTACGTACCCACGACCACCTTGCTTCTCCACTATGGTTTCCTTTCCACCCGCCACCTCCTTGTACTTTGGCCACAACAGCAGTTGTTCAGCTCCAGAGAGGCTGAGCAGCAGCTCGCTTCCCCAGAAAACAGAGCACAGCTGGACCCAGCAGATGCCCAAGAGATAAAAACCATGAGTGGAGGGTGACCATGGAGAGCTTGGGCCCTGTGAGACACACACACACACACACACACACACACACACACACACACACACGCCTTGCAAGTCACCTGCTGAGAAAAAACCCTAATGGTTTTCTTGAACTAAATGGGTGCTAATTAAATGCCACCATCGTAAACTAGAGTAAAATATATACAAACTCAACCAACCACACCCTCAAAATACCAGGCACTGCAGAAGTCAGGCGGGAATGCACACTGGGACCCAGCCAGCCTCCAGCCCCGGGGGCTGAATGCACAAGTCTCTCTCTCACCTTGCCTGGGGAGTGCTGGGGAAGTCCGTCACTCCTCTCGTACCTCCCACAGCCACGTCCTGCTTACATTTTATGTCTGCAGTGGGCTCTCTTTCTTTGCTTCCTTCATTTTCCCCTGCCCTCCCACAATTAGTCAGCTCTGATCTGAATTTATTAATCTAGACTCTCTCACACTTGAGTCCTGTCTTCACTTCTGCCCTGGCCTTTTTCCGGCTGCTTCTGATATTCAGCTTCTACATACTCAGCTAAACTGAACAGGCTGCACCCCGAGTCTATCTTAGGGGACCATGAGCACCGCAGTGGTTCGTCCTCAGTGGCAGACTCTACACATACTAACCTGTGAAAGGGAAAAAACATTTAAAGGCCTTCTTCGAGTTGTATTTACATTAAAATGATCTCGCACTAATCCTCCACATGTCCATTAGTCTGTGGATGGACTCAAATTACTTTATGAAAAGCAACAAATGTGTTACCCTTTCTTAAGAAGTATATACATTTTTGCTGAGCTTACCATGTTTTATTTGAAGAGCTTGGGCTGGTATCATGTGGAGAATGAGGAAAGTCTACTCTAAGCTTAGCTTAAGTCCCTTTTCCTCCCAAAGGCCCAGGGTTCTGAGTTTCAAAGAGAAGACGTGAATAGAAATGGATGTGTGTGTGTGTGTGTGTGTGTGTGTGTGTGTGTGTGCGTGTGCGTGTGCATGTGTGTGCTGCATGTGTGTAGTTAGCACAAGGTTTTCTCTGGTGGGAGAAAGGGACCTTGGAAGAGCATACATTAGAATAACACTGTGAGTAAAACCTCTTTAATGTTTTAACCAAGTGAGATAATTTTTCTGCATAGTCCAAACAGGCATTAAATAACTATTATCTGTATTTGTGACTATGTCTGTCACAGGATTGTTTAGCTTTTCTTTTGTAATAACACACTCGCATAATCCTGAAACCAAACAGTGTAAGCGACCCCTGCATTCCACTGCCCCTGTCTCCTCTCCAACAAAGTGCCATGTGAGCAAGATCTTGTATGTCCCAGAAACTTTCAATGCACTTAAGCATTTTAAACCATTTAACTATACTGATTTGACACAATGTAATACTTAACATTATTGTCTATAGTACATTATTTAGTTAACATTTAACATTAAGTAATATTAACAGAACCAATCACTACTGCTGAGACTAATATGTTTAACAACATCAATATTCAATCTATTTAGTATGTCTGATGCTTTTTCTGAGTTTTTCCTATTTCCTAAAAAGCCTGTTTTTTTCTGTTCCCCAATTTACTAACTGGCCCCTATTTATACAAATTTATTTTGCACATACCTAACCTCTAGAAAGAGAAGAGTTTTATAAAGACAAGAGCTGACTGAGTCTCACAGCAGGCTGGCATTGCACAGTTTTCATATCTGTTTCCAAATCACCACCCCTCAGAGTTTAAATCAATTTACAGCATGTAGGGTAGTGTCTGTTTCCCTTGTAGTTTTGAAAAAACCTGTTGGATCTTTTTTTCCCAACCTAGTAAGTAAAAAATAGTAACTCTGTGATTTTAATCCATATTCCTCCTTCCCTCCCTCCCTCTCCCTCTCCGTCTCCCTCCTCTCCCTCCCTCTCTCTCTCTCTCTCTCTCTCTCTCTCTCTCTCTCCCTCCCTCCCTCTCTCTCTCTCTCTCTTTTTATTTTGAAGGTAATAAAATACAACAGAACAAGATAGAACAAAGCCAATCGAGATAATGCAGTGAAAATGGTACAGAACTTCACAGCAGGATACCGGGATAACTGTAATAGGTACCACAGAACATCTCGTTTTAGAAATGACACTGAGTATATTTTCTTTTGTAAGAACCATTTGTTTTCTCTTTTGGACGAATGATCCATCAAATCCCTAACTCTCTTGGCTGCTCAGTGGCAGGTCTTTTCTAACTGATCTTAGGAGTACTCATGTAGTTGTGATGTTAACCCTTAGCAATCCCAACTGTCAATATTTCTTCCAGTTGACATTTGACCTTTGTTTTTACTTTGTCATCTCTGGCTGCACAGAAACTTAACTCTCTGAAACTAATTTATCAATCATTTCTTTCACAATTTGTGAGTCTTGCTTCAGAATTAGGAAGTTCTTCTACTTGAAGTTATATAACACTTTCCCATGTTTTCTTCTAATAGTATATTTGTATAAAAATCTTAAAATATTATGAGACCCTAAAATAATGTCCCCATCAGATGGTTGATTTATAGTGTTTTTGCTATTAATTTTTAATTACTAAACATATGGAAAAATAGATATTTCTCTCAAAGTTTGAGAGAAAAGTTAAGAGGAAAGACACCTTTGTTTTAGGGCAGTTCTTCTTGGCAGTCTAAGATACTGAAATGCATGACCACTATGCTTACTTCTAAAAGTGATGCGGAATTTTATTTCTTTTTTGATCATGCTCAATGTGACTGACGGTGGTGGTCCAGGTTAAGAATGCACGGCAAGATGTTACAGAAGACAGGCTATGAGCACTGGGATACTCCTTTCTCGTCTCATTTCTCTAGTTTATGTGTGTGCACATACAATGAAGTTCAAACTGGGCATACATCTTTTTTTGTCTTATTTTATTGTCATTCTGTTCATTATTCACCATTGACTGAATGGTGTTTTGTATTTAACTGTGCCCCCTGGTGCCCATTCTCACCTACTGCTGGAAGTGTAGCTTTGTTTGCAGTATTTTTTAGTTAGTATATATATAAAACATACTGAATTTATTATTGGTTTGATATTTTTAAATTATTTTATATACTTATTGGCTAGTCATCTTTTCTTCTGAAATCTGCATTTTTTTGACTACTCTTAAAGTGTGGGAAAGTGCTTAATATATGCTGCAGGTATCATTCTACCTACTTGATTTGTTTCTTAAGTTGTCAGTGGTTAGTTTGCCTTTCATTTTTTCACATTAAGAAAAATAAGCGGTATAAAGTAAAATCTACTTCTTTATACACTGTTAATCACTCACTATCCAAAGAATATAAAGTCACTAAAATTTTGTTCCAGGACTTTTGTTGCTTTATTGTTACATTTAAATACTTCCTCTCTTCAAAGAATTTATCTCAGCAGAGCATATCATACTGTATCCATCTGTCATCACTATCTGACATGTCTTTTGACTGTATTTATTTAATGATTTAATTCTCTACAGAAATCCAGTGTCTTTTTCTTCCCAAATTATCTTTGCTTTTTTCCTTTACTAGAGTAAATTTTAACCTTCAATTGTTTTACAGTAGCAAATTTTTGTATACATGTATAAAGATTCTTTTAATTCCTTAATTGATGATGCGGTGTTTTAAGTCCTCTCTTTGGCATCCTTTTGGTATATTTCTGGGTTTTCTGTTACATATCACTAAAATTGCTCTTTAACCCAACCTATACTTTAATGACTATCATTTTTAAAGAAACTTTTGAGATAAATGTTTATTGCTTTGATATTTTATCTTTTTAAATTATAATAAAAGCACTTCACAATATCTGCAGGAGAGTAAGAGCTGGCATATCATGTAATCTTGCTGCCTGGTAGCCCTGTACTTTTTATGTCTCCACTGACTTGAGTTACTTGGAAGTATTTTCAATATATTAGCTTTTAAAAGTGATTGGCTTTAAAAAATTTATTAATGTTATTAATATCTACTTTTTATTCTACTATGTAAGACTGTGGCCCTTATAATTTTTTATATTTTCAGAATTAAGGTTTTTTTTTTAATCTTTCAAAACTTAAGTACGGTAGGAATAAATGTCATATCATCCTTATTTCTTTCCCTGGGTAAACACCAAATATCACTGTGCTGGATGTTTTGGTTCAACACTGAAATACAGAAGTAAAGGGAAAACTGAACGATTTTGCATTCAGAAAGCCAGCTGTTACCTGAAACATATCCGTGTCTTTATCATGTGTGTACTCCACCACCACCGTCTGGTTTCTTGATAAAGTGTAGGAGATGCTGTGCTGGCCTTTGCAGCTGATAGCCTAGTTCGGAAATAAAAAACATAAAAATATTAAAACCTCATTGCAACAACGTGTCTCACATTCATTCCCTAGTGAAGAATGACCTGGCAGAACCTGCGTAGTGTGCATGTTCTTATCAGGCAGAGCCTGACCCGGGTTCTTTCCCTGGTCAGAGGACCTGACAGTTACCATCTGGCCTCATCCAGTATCTTACTGCAAATGATACTTTATTCAACTCAAAGTTATTTATTAGTTGCAAGACTTGTTTTAATCACATTCTCAGTAAAACATATAGTTCTCCAAGTCACCTATATGCAAGGATAGAAAGTTTAATTATAATGATTTAAAATTTATTTGATATTGTAGGTAAATCACTAACATTTTTCTATATTCTTTTTCACAGATTACAGATTATAAGCATATATAGAATCACTGACAAAAATTGTCAATGTTCTATAAGGATTTCTATAATACTTTTAGTTAATGATAGCCATATCTGTATTTTGTTGTAATCTCAAATATTCTTTTAAAAATAATCTAGGAATGATAAGATATGACTGGATTATACCCACAATGATATATTGGAACATATTTTAAATTGTGGTCATATAATTTTAATATTAACAAAGAAGTTGATTTAAATTTTACTCCAAATTATATTTTCTCCATTACTTTAACTTATCTTCATTTCCACTATTCCACTATTTCATTAAGGCTAATAAATAAAACTTTAATAAGCCTTGCTACTAAACATTTATTGATGATGACACTGTATGAAAACCAAAAAAGCATTTAGAAGCATCTGGACATAGACAGCACGCTAATGAAAATGTACTCTAACATTTATATTTGACAACTATAATTGCTTAGAGCAATAAACAGTACACTTCAAATCATCTTGGAAGTTAGCCTGGCTAATTTCATGAACGGTTATTTAATGATTTATCCTAGGAACTTTATGATTACACTGTTATTTTACTTTGTGTGCTTTATTAAAATAATGCAAGTATTTAAGATAATATAGATCTTTAGTATTGTTGGGAATCTAAAAATATTTCTTACAGTGCTCAGCTATACTAATGGATTTTCACTGTTCTGAATCAGATAAATTCAGTGCGATTGGTGTAACACTGTTTGAAAGCCAAACTTACCACAGAACTATTTATTTAGGACTGGGCAGTGATTGGATGGAACGTTAATCAACCTGATTATGGTAATCGTTGCATAATGTTATACAAATCATCATGTATATTTTGAAAACTTGTAAGTCAATTATACCTCAATAAAGTTGGGAAAAATTAAATTATAAAACAAGAAGTTGATGTTTATAGCTAGTGAAAAAAACCTACATTTAGAAAAATAAACTCAAACTTACAAAGTCAATATTCAAGGAGTGATTATATAATAACTTATTTTTGGGTTCCTTAAAAAGTATCTAAAATGGATTCAACTTACCAACATTTCAAGAAACAAAACTGTCTTGGAAAACACATTATGTAAAATAAGAAGGTTTGTCTGCACAAGCCTTCAGCAGTTCTACAGCAGAAAACCTCAGCATGATGGTTCCAGCTCCAGCCTAGCACCCTAACCTGAAGGGAGCTACTGGAGCGGGGCACATCAGAGAGGCCTGAAGCGAAGGATGCATGCTTAGAGCCTCTCACAGTGATCACCAACACTGCTCTCCACTCCAGGACACACCTGCTGTGTGAACAGTTAAACCTTTTGCCCTGGGCCAGTAGCAAATCGGTGTGCTACAGCTGTGTGTCCCGTCCAGCCCTGGACAGGTGTGTCCTAGAGACAGACGCTTCACACCACTCTGTGCAGTGTCAGAAACAGCTGTTTAATAGGTGCTACATGGTTCCAGGACTCAATTCTTCTAAGACATTTTATTCTAGAAGTATTCTCGTGATTCAACGTAAGCCTACTTGACACATGAGAGAGTCCATTTACCTAGAAAGGACTGCCGCGCCTCAAAATCTCCCAGAACAGATGAGAACCTTGCCCAGTGGCAGAACACAAGAGGGCCATGCTGAGATCGTGAAGCCTTGAATGTCTGATCCAGGAGACCCTGAATGATGAGTCCACTTAACGACAATTTATGATTTCCAGTTTTCCCCAGCTTTTAGTTTGTTACTGGCCTGCGTTAGGAAAACACACTTTTGCATCCTTTGATTAGGGAAGTCGAGGTTGAGGGCTGTGATTTGGAGGTGTCTGGACTTGTGGAAGGTGGGCAAAAGGAAAAGAAGCCCTGTAGGTGGGCTGGAAGGGCTCATGCAAGCATCAGAGAATTTCCAAATTTCTACACTTTAAAACAAACATGGCTCTTGCCTTAGAATGTTGTTCCCATTAGAAACCTACAGCACACATGCAAAGGCTCCAGGAGGGCTGCTGCATAACGGGATATCTGTTTTCATGGCATCCAGAGAGCTTTCGGGCAAATCTTTTTAAAGTGTAAGGGAAATAGCAAAATCTCTTATTTGTTAAGAAGCGGTAGGGGTAGCTCTCAACCACAAGTGAAGGGCAGAAAGCCTTCAGAGAAATGAACTGGTTTCAGAAAATACTGGTTTATTGTAATTGTCATTTCACCCATTTAATGGTAGCTCTGTACAGCTGCCAAGTGAGACTGCAGAGCCTGTGAGGGAAGGGAAAGCACACCAGGCAGCCGTAACGGGACGCGCTGGGGCTGCGCTCTCTGCCAGCTATGCTGGCTTCCCTGAAAAACCCCACAGCAGCAACACTCACCCTCCTGGCCTCCTCCAGGGCCGCATCTTGGCCAGCAGGACTCCAAGAGCTCTGGTACGGGCCTCAGGGTGTGACACAGTGGTGGAGATGCCTCCCTCCTGTCCTTACCAAGTGTCACGCACGGTACCATCCTGCACTGCAGGAGGGGTCCACTAACTCTCAGAGCGAGGCCTGGCAGCACCGCTCTTGGAGATGTTGAGCCAATCATGGAACTACCATCCCTAGACGTCTTGGATGAAAGGGTCTTTTAGGTGACTAAAAAGCTTCTGGCTGAGTATTTTGCTATTTGCCATCTGAAGCAGTTTCCTGTTTCACACGATGGCAGCCATAGGGGCACCCAGTGGAAGTGACACATGAACTTGCCCGGCAGGGCTTCTACTTGTCACTTCTGGAGTCCTCAGACAGGCATACTGACCCCTCAGAAGCCACCATGCTGCAGAAAACCCAGGCTACATGTCTATTGATCTCTGGAAGATGCCACATTGGGAGGAGGAGGCGGCGAGTGACAGGCACACCTCTTGCTCCAGCTGCCACCACGCATAACACCCCGCCCGCATTCTGGACCAGCAAACAATGAATCACCTAGAGGGCTTCTATTAAGTCTCTAAATTTTGGGGTAGTTTGCTGATACAAGAGACAACTGTAATAATCTGTTTTCAAGGCCTGTTGGGGTCAGAGCAGTTTTTCTTATCTTCTGTGACTTGTCATAGCAGAGGTGGTTGTTTTTATGTGTGCCTGGCCTGTGCCCAAGGGTATGGGTTGGGGCAGGAGCACTGTAAGGCACTGTTCCTAAAGGAAGCAGTGGGTGCCTGAGCACCCTTACAAGGCCGTCTAGAGTTACAGCAAGTATTTGTTTTTACTGGAGCAGTCTCTAGTTGTTAAAAGGCTAAGAAGAAATTTCATAAGCTTACTACTGTAGACTAGTAAGGATAATGAGAATCTCTAAAGCATTCATTCAAAGCTGTACAAAGTTATCAAGCATGTCACAGGGACACCTTCTCATCTTCACACATCTGATGCAGGAAAAGTGTGGGAAATGGGAAGGCAGGGGAAGAAACCAGCTGTTTAGGTTAGAAATAATGCAGCCACAGTTGGCTCCACATGACACTCCAGTCTTATAGAACAAGGAGGTGCACCCTTCTACACTGAAGTCTCCCTCAGTTAAGGAGTGCATTTGTGTCTGTGTACGTGTCTCAGTTTCAAATGAAAGGAAAAGCATTATTTTCCTCCAAAACTATAGCTCATCTATTACAACTCTTCCTTAGAACCAAGTTACTCAGGGGTTTAGTAATGCCTTTTGTCCAGACATCCTGGACACTATCACAGAGCTGCAGGGCCATAAGCAGTGTGACTGCCCCAGCAACTGTTTCTGGAGGCTGCCCTCCTGCAGTCTTTTCTGTGTTCCTCACAAATGTGATTCACACTGTGTCTCCCTCTCAGGGGGGCGGAGGGGAGAGTGTGGCTGTGTGCTAAAGGACTCTTTCTGGCCAGACTCCAAGTATTCCTGGCCTCAACCTCAAGTGTGGAGGCCCTCACACTATCCATCACCAGGTCCTCCTGAGAACTCAGGGGGCAAGGACCCTCTTCCCTCTGCTAAGGCCCCAACATCTGCTCTCCAGGGAGGCTGGGGCACCCACAGCTGCCCAATGTGCAGCAGTCCTCACACTGGACTCAAGAAGCCATGGCCTGCCCTTGACTTCTGCCAAGAAGCCCAACGTGAGCCTGCATTCTCAGCAGTTGTTCAAGTGGTGGCAGCCGCTTGGCACACTGCAGCACAGCCTGAGAGGCTATGTGCAGATAGATCCCGCCAAGCAGTCTGTAGGTGCTACACCCCTACATTCAGCTACTGTAACTGTTGACTCTAATTTGTACTTCAACATTTCAGCTCATCATACAACTTAGTATCTGCACCAAATGACTGCTGCAAAAAGATCCAATGGAACTGCAAACATAAGGAGACCAATCTCTCAGAGGCTCTGATTAGTAAATGCATGTGTTCTATTACTGGATGTATGTCTGCAGAAGCATTTTCATTGCTGTTCAGAACACACAGAACTGTCTGAGGAGGGTATGAATGTGCCTTTCCTGTTCAAAAACCACTTCTGATTTGTGGTAGAAGCATGGTCACTTGTGAGTAGAGGACTTAGTTTGCTGTTACTGCAGCAGCCCGGAAATAATTGCAGAATGATTTTCTTACTCCAAGCACAGTCTGCACTGTGGTGCTGGGCAGGATGAACTGAGTCTGAGGGTACCAAGCAGGTGCAGACTTACGACAGCTG